CGCCACCACTTGGTAAGTTTGTATGGACGCTGTCAAAGTTCAGGGGCTAGATGAATGGTTGAAATGATCCTGCAACTGCAACCGGTCAATTACAGCCGTGGGGGTATATACCGGCATCGAGAACCAAATTTATGTATATACTCCACCGTTGTGCTAGCTAGTTAAGTAATTATACTAAGTAAAAGATTTGCTACCATGTTTTTCTATGGTTTTTTTAACAGAGTATAGACGTAAGCGCTCATACATACGTGCATATGCTCATCCCTATGAACGCACACCCTATTTCTATGAGCACTTTCGAGAGACTGGGCCGGCATATCATCTTCAGATTTATGAAGTCATCGTAGGCGCCCCGTCATCGACGGAAACGTCTCCTCCTACTGAAGGCATGTCGCCGGAAATCCTGAAATAAATTCAGGAATAATGCGAGCATCAAGACTTAAACTCTGGTGGGCTGGAAATATCACTATCCCTCTAACCATCCAACCACATGTTGGTTCGCTTGAGGATGAACATCGGGACGGCCTATTTGATAGGTAGGTGAAAAAGCCCGTAGGATTTTCATTCAACAGTCACCCTCACCCCACACATTGTTTTCTTCTTCCTTCATTCCTTTCATTTCCGCATCGTCGATCGATGAGGGCCTAACTGCTTGCTACCGCCGTGGCTGGCGGCGCTATTGTGCTCGTGCTCTTCCCATTGCTCCCGCTCTCCCCTGAATCGTCGTTCACAGCATGTTGCTGCCGCCTAGGCTATCCCTCTAAGCCCCCTCCCCCCAATACTCCCTACGTCATGTTCTTTTCGAGCGCCGGCAATCTGCCCACACTCGAACCATTCAACCTCCAAGTCCCTTCCGCCTGGGACACTGTTCGTCCGAGCCCTTGTCGTCGTCCACGCGTCTCGCTGGGCTCGCCGGGGCAACACTAACTTTGGGCTCGACGCTAGCGCTCAAATCAAATGGTACAAAATGTTTTTTTCCGAACACAATACATAAGCAGGCGCTCATATATATACGCACATACACTTATCCCTATAAACACACATGTAGACCGTACACCTATAAGCACCTCCGAGAGACTGGATATTTGACTTTCAGAAAGACCCAGTATAATCTTTGAGAGCACCATGACTAGATCATCTTTTCCCCCTAATGCTTTAGTGATCAGAGCTTTATCGCTACTAGATGATACCCCGTGTGTTTCATCTGGAATTGGTTGCAATATACTCCCTTTGTAAAGAAATACTCCCTCCGTTTTCAAATAATTGTCTTTCTAGCCATCTCAAATGGACTACAACATACGGATGTATGTAGACATGTTTTAGAGCGTCGATTCACTCATTTTGCTCCGTATGTAGTCATTTGTTGAAATCTCTAGAAAGACAATTATTTAGGAACGGAGGGAGTATAATAGTATTTGGATCACTAAAATAGTGATCTAAACGCTCATATATTTCTTTACAGAGGGAGTACTTTGGTAGTATTCAATTATTTGAATATGGATATTTGGATGAATAATATGACAGTTGAAATAAAAAATACATAAGATTTGTTGTATTTAATTATTGAGGTGGGTCAAATATGTTAGTGGTGCTAAATATTATTGCTGCTAAATCAGTTTACGGATGGAACATTGAAACTGACTAATCGCAAAGGTCAGCGGGAAAAGGCCACCTCACTAAAACACTGTTAGTCAGTCCCGCGGCGGCTTAATCTTGCTCCATATCTGAAGTGTCTTCTCATTTTGGTATTCTTTGGTCCGTGTTCTTGTCATCACGAGCATCATTCTGTTTGCTTCAACTTTTTTCCAGCTGAATTGAGTAGACCATGCAAGATATTTTCAAAACCACTAACCAAAAATCAGTCTGTTTGAGGTGCCAGCGCATGACCACCAATAAAATTTATGACACGTCCTTTTGGAATAACTATGCATGAAACAGACTGTTATCTGCTGCACTAAAACTTCTACCAGTGATACCTCTACACATTCAGTGCAGGTGCTAGATGCACGACCCTACGACCCCAAATCTATCTAAACTACTTTTGATTGTACGATTTTTAGATGATAAACCAAATCATAAGTTTTTTAGATAGGTGTAATATCAATGACATCACAGCGTATCTCAAATCCACGGAGGAGAGGATTTGTAGCACCAAGGTCGGGGCACACAGATTTGCAGCCGCCCAATAGCCTCGTGATTCAAAAAGCGTTTTGGTCTTTGCATGTGCTTTAATCCTTAATTATCTTAGATGGGATCTATGGGTGCAATTCTTGCAGTTTTTGGTAGCTCTATCCATCCCACATCCCATGATTTTTCTTTCGTCTTTCAAATTTGAATCTATTATATCATTCAAACCGAAAAGTCTAACTTATATTTCGTTTGCATATTCATGATTCTTGTGACGAGGGCATTCAAATAAGATCCATTTTGATTACATCTTGATGACTTCTAAAACTTCGTTAAGTTTTATCTGCTAAAACTTGATGTACGACACTTCAAACTTGGTGTGCCCTCATGCTATGTCCATCGACTTTCTGGATCGCGAGGCAGATCGGGTTGCCGGACAAGTTTCAAATACTAAAACTTGATAAGAATGATGATAAATTTAGGAATTTTCTAAAACTAAACCCTAGAGCACTAAGCCCAAAACCCTAAAGCATTTGAAACTTGGTAAAACTTAATGCTACGATTATCAAGTTTAATTTTTTTGAAACTTAGATTTTTTTTAAGTTGTCACGGTGTATGCAAGACGGGTCTTGTTCGAAAGTTCTCATCGTGATGAACACAAATATGCAAATGAAACTTAATTTGGACTTTCACTTCAAAAATATAGTAGATTGGAACTAAAAGACGAAATGAGAAAGGCATGGGAGTGGGATGAATGGCGCATGCATCTCTGGCAAGAGTTGTCAAAAGCATGCATGGATGGAACCGAGCCTATAGTAATCAAATCCCTAAGATTAAACACGTTTACGAATATTAAAGCAATCGAACAACCGAACACGACTGGGCAGCTAGGTTCCCCCGCACCTGCGTGCCCTTGAGAGTTTCTGAAATCCACGCTACAACTTCAGTAACCTAAAGCAAAACAACTGCCGCATAACCCTAATTATCGCCGGATAATTTTGTTGCTCTTTCCCTTGCCTCTAGCGGTTGGTTTCGGTGCCGGGAGGCGAGAGAGACGCATTGTTGTGCTCGCAGGGAGTCTTAGTCTTGTTAGGTTTTGGCATCCTCGTATCGTTTCGAGCAGTAGAGATGACTATACAATGGAATAAGTATAGTCTTGTCCTCATCACGGTGGCGATGCTTCCACTGTTGTCGTGAGACGCATGAGGGTCAGTTCTCCCATGTCTAATCCGTCAGGTTGTGGTGGAGAGTCGCCAAGCACTCTGTTTTCACTTCGGCTTGCGATAACATTGGTGCTCTCGTACCTAAGAATCTACGACAACGCTTTGGGCATCAACATGGGGTTAGATCTTGCCATCTGATCTTTGCTTTCTTATTTAGGCTGAAATTTTGTAATTTGGATCATCGTTGGGCATCTCATGCCAACATGCAGTGACTTCACAACCATAGTTACAATGACTCTCTAATTACGGTGCAGAGCAGGCGCGCCATCGGGCTACCCTCACAACATGACATCAACATGTGCATGTTGGAAGCGATGATGTACACATTTGGTATGTTTGCCATCTTATTTTTGTTAGCAGTGTTCTTGAGCCTCAGACTTAGTTAATATATGACCTCTATCATTTGCGGAAACAATAACATCATAGCTTTGTGTGCAGGGCTACGCCATGTAATCAAATAGGTTGATTTATCATAGTTGAATTGCAAAATTGAAACTTATTTTCTAAATCTTGTATTGATATGTAGATATAAATAGGAACAAATACTGCTTAGTCAAACAAGGTAATTCTAATATACTGCACTGCCAAACACAAAATATTAATGAGCGAATTCCACTTTAACACTATAAGATTGAGTTTGTGAAACTTTGAACTATTCAAGAAAAATTCTTCCAAAATATCCTATTTACACAAGTTTGTTCCAATTTTTACCCCCTTTTATGATTTTGACATCTTCATTGGGTGGGGCCAATAGTCAATCTCATGCGGATTGCTGAAGCAGATGCCACATCATCGACATTCCTCCAAGACGTGTGTGAGGCAACAAGCCGCATCTTCCGAACATAAAAGCGCGGAATTCACTCGATCTTAAATAATGTAAGGACGCTTTTCTTTTGGCGCGCCAATCAAGCCTGGTTTTAAGGGGTGTTCTTTCAAGATTCTTTATATTCAGGCTTGGTCTTAGGGGAAAATATCTTGTGCTCTCAGAGCACCTAAGTTCAGGTGCTACAGAAGGAGCCCGGCCCTTGGATCTAGATCCCATGACGGCAGGGAGAGCTCGTGCGAATTTGCAGAAAACCCCCAAGGAGTCCCGTGATTACACATAGGTCCAGTAACTCTTCATTTGATCATTTGATCTACATTCAAGGGCCGAGATCGCGCTAGAGCACCTGAACTTAGGTGCTCCAGGAGCACATGATATTCAGGGGGTGTTCTTTGAAAATTGTTTAGATTCGATGTTCAACTTAACTTCAGTAAAATAATAGAATACAAAAATCCAGACAGGTCATTTGGAACTTATTAGTACCATCGACATTAGAAAAAGGAACTCGGAATTTGAGTCCTCTAATTTCATTTTTATGATCCAGCTGGACCAGCCGGAGATCAAATCATGGAATTATGATGAACTGCAGCAAAGTATCAATGTCAACTCATTCATTCATTTGCATCCAATTTTTGTGAACTAGAACTATCCATCTCCTTCTGAACTATCTTGCAAGCTTGCCTCTCTTCCTCTAGTATGAACAATTAAGCGAGACTGAAACACTAAACTCCATCTCTCTTGATGGAGAGCCCAATAAAAAAGAAGACACCACATCTGGCAATCCATGCACGCGCGGCTGCTAATGTTATCTTGAATTCCGGCCAGCCTCACCGACGACGGCATGTCGGCATCCTTCTTCCCTTCCTGGCCTCCGATATCGTCTCGAGCCCCGGCGACCACGGCCGCTGCTGCCTCGCCCCCACCAGCTGCATGTAGTGCTTCCTCAGCTCCGGCGTGCTGCACAGCTGTTCCGGCGCCGCCGCGCCGCACTTCTTGTCGCCGCCACCGTCGGACGTGATCACCTTTTCGATGAACTCCGGGAGGACCCTGATGAGCGCCATGCCGTCGGCGCCGGTGACGTACTCGAACGGGGACGACTCGCCGGCGAGGGACACCTTGGTCGGGGCCGGCGACAGCGACGCGAGCGAGGCCGCGGTGAGCGCCTGGCAGCTGGAGAACCGGGCCGCGGGGAGCACGAAGTAGGTCCGCCCCGCCAGCAGCTCCTCGCCCGGCGGCAGCGCCGGGATCGGGAGGCCGATGAAGAAGGAGTCGCCGGAGCAGACGAGGTGGTCGGGGGCCTCCGCCGTGACGTCGCCTGCCGTGGTGAACCGCCCGCCGGAAGCTGCGGCGAGCCTCGTCTGCCCGCCCCAGAACACCAGCCTCGCCTCCGCTCCCTTGCCGTGCACGGCCGGGGCGCGCAGGCAAGGGGAGAGGCCGTTGCCCATGCCGCGGCCTAGATTCTAGAAGCGTCTAGAACAAGCTTTGAGGCGCGAAATTGCGGAAGAGGAGGGATGCTCTGACTGAATGGTGCTTCGACAAGATTTGAGGATTCCTGGTGCGGGGATGTATATATAGGGAGGGGGTTGGGTGTGTGGGTTGACATTTGAAAAGTCAGAGCTGGGGGGTTTGATTATGGGTGTTATTTTACTCAAAAGTTGACCGGCCGGCTGTTCAAATATCAGGACAGTTGACCTTAGTTCTTCTTCTTTTTTCCTTTTCTTTTTTGAGGGAAAGATACATGGCTTTGTTAATATACTTGTTAGTGGGCAATGTCAACGCCCAATTGGGAAATGGAAGCTTCTAGCAAGTAGTGAATGGTTCTTCTCATGGAAAGTAAAATGAGATATTTCTCTTGACATCTAACAGTGCTCCAATCACTCAGTTCATTCAGCCATGATAGAATTTTTAATAATTGATGCATAGAGAGAGAAAAGGAAGATACTATTGCCTTCTATTGATGAAGAGATAATCTCTCGACATTGAAGAGATAACTATGCCGCGCAATTTTAGAAGATGCTTTGCTTCTTAGCGTGTTTTTGGTCCAGTCTTGCTCATCGCATTACTTTGCTTGCGAGAGAAGACATCGAAAGTAACGTAACATTGTCTTCTTCCGGTGAAGAGATATGCTCTCGACGCTTAAAGATAATTCTGGTGTGCATTTTAGGAGATGCTTACTTCTTCGCGTGTTTTCCGGTTCAGTTTTAGTCATTGCATTAACGTGATCATTGATTGCCAGAGATATCAAAAGATGCATATATGCAACAAAGTGTTATCGCATGGATAGCGCAAGAGAAGATAACATTCGCTTTAATTTAGATGTCGTATCGGTCACGGAATGATGACTCTTTGTTTTGTCAGAGTTGGGAGGACATTATTTTCGGATCTTATGTCACCAATGCGACTATTTGTTTACATAGTACTACTTATTTATTCAGATTCCGATAAAATGGATAAATTAGGATGTATATTAATAACTTATTATCTTACGAGATTCACCAAGTGGCTATTCAGATATCTAAGACATATATTATCAAGGAATAAGCTTCTAGCAATTGGTACATGGCTAATCTCATGGATAGTAAAAGGTTTATTTTCATCCATATGTGCTAGAGTCACTTATCACTTGGGGTATTCACTGTCACACAAGCTTCTCCAATAGGTGTTTGTACCAAATTTTTATCAAGTTCAGATGTAAAATAAGTAAATAAAACCAACTACCTTTTCTTGGTAAAATAATAATAACCCATAGAACCATCTCAACATAAGGGTCACATTCATGCATTAGGACGCTAGAATACCTAGACCCCTTGGTCCTTAGGGAAGTAGATATCAACCCACTTCACCATGTGGTACTTCTAGCGTCAATCAAACGCGTACCAGATGAAGCACGACAGGTCCTTGTCGAAGGAGCTATTCACCCCTTCTGGGAGTATATACAACCCCGCCGAAAGAGCATGGTGTCCCCGTGTTTTGGTTTTGGTAATTGATGTCAATACCTATGGACTAATGGTTGCCTTGAGTTAGATTTGAAGGGTTTGTCCATAGGCATTACTTGAAGACCATTCTTTGGTTTCAAGGTAATAAGGAGATTATGTGTTGACCAAGGTGCTATTTAAGGAGTTATCCAAAGATTGGTCATGTGAGAGTTGAGCCTAATGCAAACATGTCTTGAAGAAGAAGAAGAAGATTGTGTGAACATTCCTGTTTACCTTCAAGACATCATCTTTATCAAGAGAGAAGATAAGGTACAACTGAAGGAAATATGCCCTAGAGGCAATAATAAAGTTGTTATTTATATTTCCTTATATCATGATAAATGTTTGTTATTCATGCTAGAATTGTATTAACCGGAAACTTAGTACATGTGTGAATACATAAACAAACAGAGTGTCCCTAGTATGCCTCTACTTGACTAGCTCATTAATCAAAGATGGTTAAGTTTCCTGATCATAGACATGTGTTGTCATTTGATCAACGAGATCACATCATTAGAGAATGATGTGATGGACAAGACCCATCCGTTATCTTAGCATAATGATCGTTTAGTTTTATTTCTATTGCTTTCTTCATGACTTATACACATTCCTCTGGCTATGAGATTATGCCACTCCCAAATACCGGAGGAACATTTTGTGTGCTATCATACGTCACAACGTAACTGGGTGATTATAAAGATGCTCTACAGGTGTCTCCTATGGTGTTTGTTGAGTTAGCATAGATCGAGATTAGGATTTGTCACTTCAAGTATCGGAGAGGTATCTCTGGGCCCTCTCGGTAATGCACATCAGTATAAGCCTTGCAAGCAATATGACTAATGAGTTAGTTGCGGGATGATGCATTACGGAACGAGTAAAGAGACTTGACGGTAACGAGATTGAATTAGGTATGATGATACCGACGATCAAATCTGGGGCAAGTAACATACCGATGACAAAGGGAATAACATATGTTGTTATGCGGTTTGACCGATACAGATCATCGTAGAATATATAGGAGCCAATATGAGCATCCAGGTTCCGCTATTGGTTATTGACCAGAGATGTGTCTCGTTCATGTCTACATAGTTCTTGAACCCGTAGGGTCCGCACGCTTAACTTTCGATGACGATTTGCATTATGAGTTATGTGTTTTGGTGACCGAAGTTTGTTCGAAGTCCCAGATGAGATCACCGACATGACGAGGAGTCTCGAAATGGTAGAGAGGTAAAGATTGATATATTGGACAAAGGTATTCAGACACCAGAAAGGTTTTAGGACGTTTCGAATATTTATCGAGGAACCGAGGGGTTACCGGAACCCCCCGGGGAAGTTATGGGCCTTAATGGGCCATAAGGGAGTAGGAGAGGGCAGCCCACAGGGTGCCCCCCAACCCCCAAGGGAGTCTGAATTGGACTAGGGGGAGGGGCGCGGCCCCCTCTTTCCTCTCCCTCTCCCTTTCCTTCCCTCTTTCCCCCTCTTGGAATAGGAAAGGGAGTCCAACTAGGATTGGGGATCCTAGTTGGGCTCCCCCTTGGCGCGCCCCCTCATGGCCACTGGCCTCCTCCCTCTCCTCCTTTATATACGGGGGCGGGGGGCACCCCAAAGGCACATCAATTATCCCTTAGCCGTGTGCGGTGCCCCCCTCCATAGTTTACCACCTCGGTCATATTGTCGTAGTGCTTAGGCGAAGCCCTACGTGGATCACATCACCAACACCGTCGCCACGCCATCATGCTGACGGAACTATCCCTCGACCCTCTACTGGATCAATAGCTCGAGGGACGTCATCGAGCTGAACGTGTGCTGAACACGGAGGTGTCGTATGTTCGATACTTGGATCGGTTGGATCATGAAGACATTCAACTACATCAACCGCGTTAACATAATGCTTCCACTTTCAGTCTACGAGGGCACGTGGACACACTCCCCCCTCCCGTTGCTATGCATCTCCTAGACAGATCTTGTGTGATCGTAGGAATTTTTTGAAATTGCATGCTATGTCCCCATCAGTGGCATCGACGCCAGGTCTATGCGTAGATGATATGCACGAGTAGAACACAAAGAGTTGTGGGCGATAATAGTCATACTGCTTACCACCTACGTCTTACTTTGATTCGGCGGTATTGTTGGATGAAGCGGCCTAGACCGACATTACATGACCATGTTCATGAGACTGGTTCTACCGACGTGCTTTGCACACAGGTGGCTGGCGGGTGTATGTTTCTCCAACTTTAGTTGAATCGAGTTTGACTACAGCCTGTCCTTGTTGAAGGTTAAAACAACACACTTGACAAAAAATCGTTGTGGTTTTGATGCGTAGGTAAGAACAGTTCTTGCTAGAAGCCCGTAGCAGCCACGTAAAACTTGCAACAACAAGGTAGAGGACGTCTAACTTGTTTTTGCAGGGCATGTTGTGATGTGATATGGTCAAGACATTATGAGATATAAATTGTTGTATGAGATGATCATGTTTTGTAAAAGTTATCGACAATTGGCAAGAAAACTAAACTGTCGTTTCTTAATGTTTGGGGCTGCGATGCTTATGTGAAAAAGCTTCAACCTGATAAGCTCGAACCCAAATCAGAGAAATGTGCCTTCATAGGATACCCAAAATAGTCTGTTGGGTACACCTTCTATCACAAATCCAAAGGCAAGATATTCGTTGCTAAGAATGGATCCTTTCTAGAGAAGGAGTTTCTCTCGAAAGAAGTGAGTGGGAGGAAAGTAGAACTTGATGAGGTAATTGTACCTTCTCCTGAATTGGAAAGTAGTTCATCACATAAATCAGTTCCAGTGATTCCTACACCAATTAGTGAGGAAGCTAATGATGATGATCATGAAACTTCAGATCAAATTATTACCGAACCTCGCAGGTTAATCAGAGTACGATCCGCACCAAAGTGGTATGGTAATCCTATTCTGGAGGTCATGTTACTAGACCATGATGAACCTACGAACTATGAGGAAGAGATGATGAGCCCAGATTACGCGAAATGGCTTGAGGCCATGAATACTAAGATGGGATCCATGTATGAGAACAAAGTGTGGACTTTGGTTGACTCGCCTGATGATTGGCAAGCAATATAGAATAAATGGATCTTCAAGAAGAAGACTGACGCTGACGGTAATGTTACTGTCTACAAAACTTGACTTGTGTGAAAGGTTTTCGACAAGTTCAAGGAGTTGACTATGATGAGACCTTCTCACCCGTAGCGATGCTTAAGTCTGTCTGAATCATGTCAGCAGTTGCCGCATTTTATGATTATGAAATTTGGCAAATGAATGTCAAAACTGCATTCCTTAATGGATATCTTAAAGAAGAGTTGTATATGATGCAACCAGAAGGTTTTGTCGATCCTAAAGGTGCTAACAAAGTGTGCAAGCTCCAGCGATCCATTTATGGACTGGTGCAAGCCTCTCGGAGTTGGAATATATGCTTTGATAGTGTGATCAAAGCATATGGTTTT